AACACCTGTTTTTTGTTTTGAAATTGAACAACTTCTTTGGCTTAATTGCTTACATTTAAGACTGCAACCTGATTTATGTGTGTTATTTAAAAGGCCAAAAGTAGAAGTGTTTTGAATGAAGCTCAAAATTCAACATTATGTAAGAAGATGCAATTTTATTTTATGATAGTATGTTTTAATAAAAGCTAATGTGTCTATTGACTGTGCTAAGCACTCTGAACACATTAGCTGATTTAATCCTGTGAGAATTCTCTAGGGTGGCAATTCTCAAAGTGTGTTCTGAAGATCTCTTTCAGTTCTTGAAACTGAGACCCTTTCAGGGGGTCCAAGAGGTCAGATGCATTTTCTAATAACACTAAGAACTTTTCTGCTTTTATCCCGTGTCGAGATCGTACTGATGATATAAAAGCAATCATGAAAAACTCCTGGGCCTCGAGCAGGTGTGTCATTGGCAGCGGTGCCAAACTCTGCTAGTCGACATGGTCTTCTTCTCCACCACACATGGCGATTAAGATAAATCCAATTCCTAAGAATATCCTTGATGAAGGAGTAAAAACAATTTCACTGAATTTTGATTCTAATGAGTATTCTGTATTGCAAGTGTGAGCCATTTCCAGCCCTTCTGCTGCATACCAAGGTGTGATGATGGTCCTGAAGCCACTTCCTTGTGAGACGGTTTGAATCGGGAGCCGAAGAGCTGCTCTTTGCATGGCACCCATTTTGCTTGAAGTAGCAATTAACAGACAAACGTGGCTGCTCAGAGTTGGGGATTTGGTAGCATTTTCTTGAAAATGATTAAAATAGTGTTGCATCACTGAAAACAATTGACAATATTTGTTACTAATAAAAATTGAGCTTTTAAGCAAAAATTAGAATTTTGGAAATCTTCTATGTGCCACCATGGGCTTGACAGCATCCCATTATTTAAGGGCTTTTCTGATGAGATAGCAGTATTAACATATGATCTTTTCATATTACATAATGAAATGTGTCAACATCTGGAAGAGCTACATAAGTTGATGGACCAGCAAAGGCATGCATGTGCAAAAGATCTATTCACAATGCAAGATAGGCCAAAGCATTTTAATGAGAGACAGCACCAAAATGTCAGATAGGGTTTCAGATTCCACATTGCAACTAATCTTTATGAAACCACCACTCATGCAGTTTAGGTTCAGTTTCAAGAATATTCACAATTATCTGAAAAGGCTGTTCGAATATGCCTTCTTTTTCCAACTACATGTCTGTGGAGGCTGGATTATTTTATAACCTTCAATCCAAACAACACAATTGCAAGAGATTAAACGCAAAAGCATATATGGGAATTTCATTTTTTTGTTGTTGTTGTTCAGCCAGACATTGAAGAATTTTGAACAAAAAAGTGAAGCAATGCCACTCTTGTTGAGGTTTGGGAGGATAGTTACTTTTCATAAATATGTCTTGTTATAAGGTGTAATAACTTTAATTTATTATTTTTAAATGAATTAAGAAATATTTCAATAATTCTCAGTTTTACTTTCTGATATGATAGAGAAAGCTACAACTCACATAAGCAAGAAATTTGAAGTGACCAATAATTTTTTCAAAAGTCGTGAAGGGGTCCAAAGACCAGAATTCTGAGAACCGCTGCTCTAACCGAAGTTGGTCTTACTGTTTTGTTGATTGAAAAACCCCAGCATAGGCGGCTGAATTACCCAGGTTCACGTAGCTCCTATGGGTAGAGCTGGGGCTTGAACCAGGTCACCCACGTTGCCATGATGTCCCAGCGTCTCTTGGAGAAAACGTCATGGTTTGTAATTTAGCTAAAATCAGTAGGCCTTATCTAGGGGAATGTAGATATCCTCAAGATGCTTTTCCGGTGTCCTTTTCTTGGTCTGGTAGGACATCTACCACTGTGAGCCCGTCTCTCTGTCAGCATGTATGATGTTCAGGGCAAGGGCAAGCACACTTGAGCTTCACTCCTTGGACTTCTGGGCTTTTTATTTCATCTGAGTTGGATTTTTAGGATTATTTGAAAGAATATTGGAAAGAAATATTGAACCATATTCTAGAAAAATGTTCGTTACTCCTGGTAACGCTCCTGTTATTTTGGCGGGTCATACTTTTTTCACTACAAACCATAGAAAGGACAATGCGGTGCAATTCTAGTTTGAAATAAACTGTTGGAGAGCTGGAAGTTTATTTCAGTTTGGAGGAACAGGGGGCTTGCTTTAATCCCATTGTCTCTTCTTATGAATTTGAATGCTGGGCAGATTAGCACAGTACAGGGTCAAACCAGCCCATAATTGCAGACATGCATGTCCCCACATCGGCTGCCCTGCAGACTAATTTGAATGATGGAGCAGATTAGCACAGTGCAGAAGCAGACCAGCCCTTACCTGCAGACATGCCTGTTCCCACCATCCACAGCGCTGTAGACTAATCTCACTGAAAGCTTGGATGGTTTCTTAGGGGAAACACTGGAAGGGTAGGTTTACCCCAGGAGTTCCCTTAAATATGCTGTTAATTTGCACTGATCTCAGAGAAAACAGAGGTCATCAGTGTGAAGTCCTGACTGAATGCACTGGCATACTGTGCCCAGTGCTGTTTAATGGGGGATCTCGGGGACCCCTCCTGCTTTGCCCATTTTCATGTGCACAGATCCAAATACCAAGAAAATACTGCAGATGAACTATTCTACTCAGAGAAAATCCCACACAAATGATGACTTTACAGTGAGATCTAGGAATATGCAAGGCAAGCTTTGGTCTGCTTTCTCACTTCTGATAACAGCGCCCTCCAGAAAATGTTGGGACAGGGACACGGGAGAGGGTGAGCAGTTTGCCTTTCACTTGCTGACATGGTGTGTGCTCAGGCGGCCTGGCCCCTGGCTCCCCAAACTCTGCCCCTAACCAAGCTTTGCAGTCCCTGGCACCCTGCCAGGCCATTCCTCATCCTCAGAGGCCTTGAGGGTGCCAGGGTGTTCCTGTAGCACTGCTTGCCTTCCACAGACAGACAGACAGCAGGGCTTGCACACGTCCACGCATTAGTGGGAATGGAGGAGTGCGTTGATCTAAAAAAAATTCCCGTTTGTCATAAAGGATGGGACAGTGTTTTAACAAGCCTTTCCAAGCCTTTGGGAGCCACTGGGGAGCGAGGCAGCACTAAGGCGTCCCGGGGCCCTCACGTTTCTCAGACCTTGGAGCCGCGGAGCCTGTGAAGCCTGCTCTGTGCAGTGGCCCTGGGCTCCCTGGGCACGGGTGCCCCTTCAGACGCTGTCCTGGCTGCTACGTGGGCACCTCAGCTGTGGGAGCCCCATGGCTGTGAACCTCAGCGAGGGCCCTGCAGACAGCAGTGTCATGTCTTTGTCCTCTCACCTCCTGGCACTACCCTTGGCTTGTTGACCGGTCCCTCACTTCCTGGACTCTGGCTGCTCAGGGCAGGGACCAGCTGTGTCCCCAGTGCTGAGCAGCCAGAAGACCCCGCAAAGGCTTGAGGAAGGGTGCAGGGCCTTTGTAACTGGGACAGGAGGGACCCGGTCGTGGGCCGCCTCCTGGGCAGAGCTCTGCGGACCCTGGGGGGTGGTGAGGGTCTCCTGGCCGTTGGTCGGAGAGGCTGCATGCACAGTGGCCTGACTCGCCATTACTCTCCCCGTCATGCCCACCAGCAGGGCTTGAGATGGGACAGCTCGAAAAGCCCTGCTCCTGTGCGTTGTAGTCACAATAGCGTGATTACTTTTTATTATGTTTAAATCATATATATAAGTGTGTGTACATGTATATGTGTATATATATTTGCTCAGTTGTAGGTGCCTTTCACCCTGAAATTTCTGACATATTTATTTTTATAAGGTAGGAGTGGAAATATATAAAAGTGACATGCAGAGAAGTTGCCTACTTTTTTCAGATTCACAAATATGGTGGTACATCCTGTTATGTTTGAAGGTCTGTTGCTGGAAAATATTTCTGATAAGCTGGGAGAATGCAGCCTAAGAATTAGCTCTGAGGACAGAGCCCCACCGCACCACTGCCTCCTCCTCCTGCTGACAATGAGCCACCACAGCGTCTACGCAGGTGGCTGGAGAACGTGCCGCTTGCGTGGGCGTGTCCCAGAGCACACAGAGGACCTGTCCCGAGACAGTTCCCTCACAGTGCCCTCCTGCAGTGTTGAAGTGTGACCTCTCCATATTTGAATATTTAACTAGAGAACATATCTTATCGTACGTTTAAGTTTTATCTCAGAAATACATTTGAAATGTACCACTGTTTTCTTTAAAAAGATTAATATTACTACGATGGAAAGAGCAGTGCACACTGTGAGATTAAATTCCTGGCTTCAATGGGTGTACATAATCACCTGCCAGCAGCTGGATTTGAATGGCTGTGTTTACCAGAAAAGGACCTGCTACCCGCATTTTTCAGAAGAGTTGTTCACAAATGATACATTATGCCTTGTGCTTTTGTTTCTCCCTGGGATTTGAAAAATGAAACTTTCCATTAGTGGTAAATTCATAAGCTTGGGGCATGAAAATGTTTGAATTTGATATAAAAGAAGTTTTGAAAGGAAGATTAGTGGTTTAAACCGAAAGATTAGTCGCCCTGGGAAATTCAGCGGTGGAAAAGCAGAGTTCGGTCGCAGGAGGTCCCGGCCTGGCTGATGGCAGGGTCCGGCTGCTAGTCCTGCCTGCCTGGCCGGCCCACCTGCTGGGCGGGCCTGGTGAATTTCATCGGCACCTTCCCAGAGCCCTGGGGCTCCTCTGCTTTAGACCCCCTTGTTTGTGGTCTGGTGGAGTCCTCTGCTAAGCGAAAGCGGATTATTATTTCTTTATTCACAATCACTTTAAAATGGAGGAGACACAAGAATAGGTAGAGTCTAACTTTCAGGGCATCTAGTGGTTGATTCTTGTCCCTTCTATCATGAACTAGTTTCTGGGAGAAGAGCTTCCGATTTCCATTGTGAGCAGATAGTTAACCCCACGGCAGTCCACCCTCCTGGCAGTAGGAAGCCTGGACCCACGGGACATGGCCCCACCTCACAGCTTCTCATCCCCCAGCTTCTCCGTGCAGGTGGTTCTTACCGTGGCAAGTGGGTCATGGCTCCTTTCTAGATGAGCACAGTGATCTTCACATTAGACAGGAAAGTTCATGATATATCCGAAAACTAGGAGTCCATTTCAGGAAGTGACTTCTGCATCATAAAATGATGATGTTGTCTTGAGAGAACATTAAGTTCATCCCTCTCCTCTGGATGGACCTTAAATCTGTGTTATCCAGATAGATGAGGTTCTCTCTTTCATAAATGATTTATGTTCTATTTAAAAGTATGTGAAAATGGAAATGTCACAGTTTTCCTTAATAATTCATTCCAGGGTCTTATAATGTTCATCGTAAGAATACAGACGCATACTTCATCTCTGCTCGTTTTTCCTGAGGAAGAGGAAATCTTTTAGTTATTATTTGGGAAAACAAGCGCGTGCACACGCGCACGCACACACGCATTCATTCACTCACTCACTTACTCACTCTGCCTCCACATCAGGTGGACCCCATGGCTTTTTCCCAGGTCAGAGTTTGCTCATCTTATCTCAGAGATAACCCAATCATTTTTGTTTTTATGGACCTCTTCAGACTCTTTTCTGTTCCACTTAAGGTGTATAAATATCACAGGCATTCACAGTCTGTGCTGATCTGGATACAAATCCTTTTGTCTTTCTCGTCAAAGCTTTTGTGTTTTGTTACCTTTGTACCTTTTTAAATATTATGATCTGCTGTGTATATGTCAGTGGTAAACAGTGCTGGGCTCAGAGAGATACTGTGCTGTTCTGCACATCGGCCAGTCGACATAAAAGTACTTGAGGCACTAATTTTCACGTAGACACTTAAGATTCCACCTTCTTCCTGATGTAGCGTTAGCATCTGTACTAACCGTATTCTACAGTAACTGCGTCACAAGGTGTTTGGCTTGCCGGCTCTGTGAAACTTCGTTATAGATTTCTCCTACCAGGTCACAGTACCCAGCGTGATTTCTGCATAGCAGGTGTGGTTAGTAAACTATGACTTCCGTGAAAAAATGAATTACAGTATTGTTTCCATCAAAACCATTATATCATATATTAAGTTGATGATACTCTGTCAGTTGTAAAACCAAATTCAAATTCTTGAGTGTCTATCTTGAAGCATGTTTCTCTCAAAAAAGTGTATTGCTCATGACTTACTCTTGTAGGACACTGGAGCCATGTGAAGTGGCATTTCTTTTTCTGTTGTCAAACACAGTGCAGATGGCACGACATTCCTAAAGCCTGTCGCGCAGTCAGCCCCAGGTAGCCAAGCCGTAGCCGCGGCAGTCGGGCTTTCGCAGCCTGCTGGGGTCATGAGCGGACGATTCCGCTGAGGCACACAGCACGCAGCGCGACCGGGCATGGTTGATAAGCAGAACCTAAAGGTGTGCCGGAGAGGCAGCTCGGAGCGCGTGATGGGCAGCAGAAGCGGTGGCCCTCGGGGAACAGGGCGAGGACGGAGTTCTGCCTTGGGGTTACATGCTTCGCGGTCGCAGTGCCACGCCTGCCGCGTCATATCCTCGGCAGACCTAGACTGTGACCTCTGATGGGACAGCGCCTATCGCCTTCGCATTTATTCCCAGGGCTTGTTGCAGACCAATGTGTTTACCACTGTGTCACCTTTCGGAGCATTTGCCCCCTGACTGGGCTGCTCCCACCTCTCTGTCCCTCTTGACTCCTCCACAGTGCAGCCAGATGAGCTTTTAACAACAGCTCCTTCAAAGGCTAATCACCACCATCATAATATTGACAGTACTGTTGACGAGGCCTATAAATAGGGTGACCATGCAATGTATTATTCACATGAGTACTGGGAATGTGGAGAGAACACCACTGCCAATCACATGGGGATGGCATGGAAACCAGGGTGCCTGTCCTGTAGGGCGGCACAGGCTGGCCTCCCCTCTGCTTCCGTCCACCCCACCACCTGCAGCAGAACCACGTGTTTTCTAGCCCTCGTGCTTCCCAAGGTTACTCACTGCCTCAGGACCTGGGCACACGGACCGCTCTGAGGACTTGAGTGCACTGAGCTTTATCTCTGAGGCGCTGCATGGGTTGCATTGACCAGGTTACCTCTCCTTACGATCGGCGCTTCCACTCCCACATGCCAGCTAACATTCATTTGTCTGAGTGAGAGCTGGTCAGACTGCAGCATATCTATCAGCAGCGGGATCCACTGGCAGAATAAACTCTGTGAATTCTACCCAGTCAGCACAAATAGAGCCAGCTATATGCACAACCGTTGGAGGAAAAAACAGTCTCAATTTTAATAGTTAATATGCTATTTGATATAGGGATTTCATTTAAAAGCGATTTCATTTAAAAGTCCAGTCAAGTAATTCCACAGATTTATCAGAAATTTGTATTTAAGCTATGGGTTCTTGAGGAGAAAGTTCCCTTACTGAGACACTTGTGACATTTCGGGTTACGTGGAATCGGTAGATTCTGAAATAGATTATCTGGGTTTTCCATCGTGATTTTATCACTTACTGTCTGGGTGCCCTTGATCAGTGAGTTCATTTCCCTGTGCCTCTGTCTGCCCATCTGTGAAATGAGTGCAATGGCATCGATTTTTTAGGGCTTGTGAGAATGAAATAGGGTAGCACATGGCAAGCACTTAGAACAGTTCCCAGTTCAACTCACTGTTCTTTGTGTCATTGTTACTGTATTAACTCACTCAACAAATATTTATTCAGTACCTGCTTTGTTCCTGGAACTGTTCTAGGTGCTGGGGATGCACAGGGTATAAACCAGAATCAGTTAGTTTCAAAATCTGATAAGTGTTGACTGAAATAAAAGTCACCCTTTGTCAGGGCTTGTTGGGGAGGAGCTTTGTTAACAGGAAGGGTGAGAATGAGTCAGCTGCACAGAGCCCAGAGGGGCATCCAGGTGTGAAAGGGCTTCACCTGAGGGAGGGGCATCCAGGTGTGAAAGGGCTTCCCTGGGGGAGGGGCATCCAGGTGTGAAAGGGCTTCCCTGGGGGAGGGGCATCCAGGTGTGAAAGGGCTTCCCTGGGGGAGGGGCATCCAGGTGTGAAAGGGCTTCCCTGGGGGAGGGGCATCCAGGTGTGAAGGAGTTTAGCCTGGCATCAGAGTTAAAGGCCAAGCATGTGAGCTGAGAGGGTAGGAGGCCTGGCAGGCAGACAGGAGCAGATAATACTGCTGTGCTCTGGGGATTTCATTAGAAAAGTGAGCAGTCATCTAATTCTGTTTATTTTATCGATGAACAAACAGAACCCCCTGTGGCCTGTTCAGGGTCATGTAGGGAATTAGTGATGGGGCAAGAACTAGAAGCTGCATGTCCTGTGTTCATATATTTTTAAAAAAATTATTGAAGCATATGTACAAAAATTGTGTAAGTCATATAGAGAATGGTTTTCTATGAAATTTCACAAAGCAAGTACCTCCCATGTAAACACACAGAGAAGCAGATCCAACCTGGTCTCCATGTGCAGCCCAGTCACATGCCCTGTCCAGCCTCAGAGGCAATGCTTATCCTGACCTGTGGACACCACAGAGTAGTGTGGCCTGGTTTCTAACTTGTGCGGACTTTTTGGTGGAAGCACGTGCGAGGGACTACTGTCTACCTGGCTCCTTGCACTTCATCCGTCTGTGAGATGCATCCAGGTTGTGAGCTGTGTGGCAGTAGTTGGTTCATCACCGTTGCTGTGTGGTATTACTTTGTACGAATACACACAGGTGCCCAGTCTTGTTGCCCTCGGAGAGTCATGCAAAGAGGCATGTGTGAGAGATGGAGCTGGTGTGACTCATGTCATCTGTGGGTGTATTAGTTTTGCTTATCCCAGTTACTTTTTTTAAAAAAGCAACAAGGTTGTATGAGGTCATTTCTCTTTCAGAGCCCAGTATAGCCCCTTATGAGTACTTGGAGAGTAGAATGCCTAGTTACAGCCCAGGCTTGTATGCAGAGCTTGCTCGCTGTGCCCGTGGATAAGTGTGTATTCATCGTAAGTGGAAATAGCTGGATGAACTTGTCAGATGCTGTCCATAGGTACCATCAGTGGGCCTTCAGCCTTTGAAATGTTATCTAGGGTATTGCGTGTTTCAGCGGAGTCAAATAACCATCGTTTCTACTTTTTAAAACCAGGTCTATTTAAACGAGTGATTTGTTAATTGAATAAATGTCATTCCATGTGCACTTTAGTCAGTTTTTTTCTTTCTTCTTCTACTTTTGAATATTTCAGATGATGTCGTGCCGTACTTCAAAACGGAGCCGGGCCTGCCGCAGGTTCACCTGGAAGGGAACCGCCTTGTCCTCACCTGCCTGGCGGAGGGGAGCTGGCCTCTGGAGTTCAAGTGGCTGCACAATGACACCGAACTCACCACCTACACCAGCGAATACAAGTAACTGACTCCTTAAAAATAAGGTTCCATTCCAGGCGGGTGTGCTGAGGATATTTGCGTTGTTGGTCACAATAGCACAAAGATTAAAGGAGTAGATTTGATCATGTACTTAGAATGGGATTTATATTTTGATATAGGTTATATTTACACCTAAGTATCATTATATTTGTAAAACTAAGCCCAGTAGTGAAATTACCAGACCCAAAAAAACTCTCCTTACAGAGGAATGCAAATAACCACTTTAGAATGTAAATCTGCTCCGGGCCACAGCCCCACCCCTAGTGCTCCTGACTGAGGACACAAGTGTTTAAACAGATCTTTAGATCATCAGCAGCTGGTGAGCAAGGACACTGCCTTGGTGAGCTTGCAGAGATGGTATGGGAGAGAGGGATCCACGGGAGGGCCGGCATGGGGAGGGCATCTGCCAGGTGCTGGGTACTAGGGTCCAGGAGTGAGTTCCGTGCTGGGGGACCAAGTGCAAGGACAGAGACAGGGGAAGCCAGAGGTCAGGTTACATCTGAGCTCTGGCTTCACCTGGGAAGCAGCAGCACCAGCTCATGAGCCTTGGGGTCTTTCCAGGTTCCTATTTGTTTACCCTCCATTTCTGTGCGAGGACTAGTATACTAGGTGCTGCCGTTCTAGGCAGGACGGAGAATTGGTCACTGCCCAAGAAGTGCAGGAGGCCCCAGACAGCACAAACCAGCAATTCCATGCTCTCGTTACAGTGAGACAGGAACGAGAATAGTCTTTCTGAGATAGTTTAAATGGAGTACTCAGAGGTTCTAATAGGTGATCTGTGAACCTCATTCTGCCTGCCTGCAGTGCAGTGTATGTGTGGTTAAAAAGTCAGTTTAAAGTCTATACATGGACACACACAGAGAATAGATTTCTTAACTGACTGCCAGCATTTAACAATGGTAAGACATTATATAAAAATGTGCTTTCCGGCCCCTCTTGACCAGTCAGCACGCCTGGCCACCAGGCTCTGCAGCCCCACACAGGAGCAGGCACGGCCACTCCGGTCCTCAGCGCGCTCTGGTCCCCCACCTCATCATGCCACACTGGCTTTACTCAGTTGTGTCATCCACCCATCTGTGTGACATAAGAGCTTGTGGCCACCTCTTGCATTATTAGGCCTATACTGTCAGTTTGGCATATTGGGAGCCATTCATCGTAACAGTTAAGAGCTCATTGACATCACACAGACCTGGGTCTGAAGCCCAACTCCTCACCAGTCAGCATGACAGATGACCTCGGGCAGGGCACCCACGAGCCGCACTTTCAGGATCCACAGAGGGTGGTCACACCTCACTCGTGGTGTTGGGAGCTGGAAAAGGCTCTAATGTGTGTACATGGCATATTTTATACCCCAAGCTACCTACTACTAAACCCTAGGCAGCATTGTGTACTATTGTAATGTGACATCATGGGCTTGCTTTGTTAGGAGGGATGTAAGAAAGAGAAAAGTGAACTTAGGAATGAGAACCCTGTGAGCCATGGGCTTTAGCAGCAGATGACCTGAGTTCAAATACTTCTGTTCAGCTTATTCTCTGTGGGACTTGGGACACGTTATTAACCAGAGTGATCTCACTTTCCTCATCTGTAAAATGGATATAACAAAGCCCACTTTAGAGGGGTCTCATAAACATGAAATGACAACATTGGTGCCTCAGGAAGAAAGGAATGACGTTTTAAAAGTATCTAGATTTTCCATCCTAATAAAAATAAGTAGTAATCGGATGATCTGCAATGGTCTTCACACTGGGGCCATGGCCATGGGCAAGTGGCAGATGAACTGTTATCTAGATTCTCAGTTCCACTTGCTTGTTTTCTGAAACTCAGCTGTGAGAACACGCCTGTATGTGGGCACTGTCCTGTCAGCTCTCTCTCCCACTTCTCCTGTTCTCCTGTGTCCCTGCAGAAGGGCACACCTCCCACTGCGTCTTCCTGCCCAGCTCCACCTTAGGGCGCAGCACACACACAGCTCAAAATATTGGGCTCTTTTACACAACCCACAGGAGAGCTTCCTGCCTTCTACTCTATACATATTTCTTGTGACTGCAAATGAAGTCTGACACTGGAAATGGAGTATTTTGACCAGTCTTGGAGTTCTCAGTTGAGACATGCCGTGCAGGTGGGCAGAGAGCTGTCCCGGGTTTCAGCTAAGCCCCTCACCTTTTCTGTTCCCTGATTGTCAGGAAGGAAGGAAGGAATGTTTAATGAGAGAGGAGCAAACAGCACCTGCAAGAAGTGTGCCTGTTTCTTCAGGCAGCAAGCGACAGCCTCGCTCTGCAGCTCACCATTCGCATACATTAGAATGGGAGTAGCCAAGATTTGTTTGAAATTTAAAACAGGTTGAGAAATAGTCTTCTAGGGAGCACACTCTGCCTGTGTCTCACCCGAATGCTCAGTCCCAGATTTCAGGGAGGAGGGGTAGCAAGTTCTGTGTACACGGCAGATCCACGATGTCTTGATGTAGAAGCAACACACACTGCAGGAAGTCGGCTTCACGTTTATTTAGACTTCCCCGCAGAAGACACTTAGTTCACTTGCTCAATAAAAGAGCATTCGCTGTCTGGATCCCTGTCTGTGCTTTACTTTCCTGGGCTTCCTGTTGCTGTGTCTCAGCCTCTTCTCTGCTTGTTTATTTCTCCTGACATTCGTTGGATGTAAATGACTGGCATGCAAACAGGTGCTCAGAACTTCTTCCTCTTCCTGTGGCTAATGTCCATGGAATTCTGTGCATGCTAGCAGTAAATAAGTTCCCATTAACGAAATGTAAAGTGATTGAAAGAAAAACAACCACTTCCATCTCATTAAGAAACACATAAGTTTAATCATTATTTTTCAAAATATGTAATACATTTATTGTGTTTTGATTAACAGTGAACATGTAACCCAGAAGACATTTTTTTAAGTACTTTGAATTTTTTATTCAAAGGAAATTCTCTTTAAATTGCCATTTATATGTATATTTTTATTTCAGAAAAGTATCATGGGAAATCAGTGTGTATCTTGAAGGCATAAATTTCTGTGGGGTAAATAGATTTAATGTTCAACTTCAAAGAGTAAAAAGAAACAATATGAAAGTTGTATTGGTTACACAGTTCATTTTTTAAAAATGGGTAATGTGGATATAAAATTCACTCTATTATTTAGATTCCACTGGATACATTTAAAAGAGTGGTGTAACAGTTTTATTCTAAAATGCTAAAACATACCCTATGCCATTATGTTATATATGAGAGTGTTTCAAGTTCGGGTAGAACAGCTTTCACACATTGGAGGAGATGGATCCTTTCCCCGCTGCTCTCTGCACCAGTGGGTGCACCTGTTCATTCGCGGCTCCTGGATAGACAAGAAGACAAAGCTTGTTGTGCTGAAGCCAGATCAGGGAGGTAACTCGGTACATATGGGTCATTAACATAAGTGGATGCTTTGCTACCACGTCACTAGGAGCTTGATAAGAAGAAACGGGTTTTCTGAAGCAGAATGGTTTGGATCAGACGTGATAAATTATATTCTGTTCACTGAGGGCTTCAGACACAGAGATGGGTTATCAAGGATCCATCGTGTTTTGTCATCATTTTTTTCAAGATACAAAACCTGTCTAAGAATCACATACTGTTTTTTTCAAATTACTCTTTTGTCTCTTTACCTCCCATAATCACCTTCAGCTGTCATGCATTAACCTCCCTGAGATTGTTCCAAGTCTCAAATGGAAAACATGGTACCTTATGAAAATGATAGCTGTTTCCTGCCTGAAATTGAATCCCTACCCCTAACCCCCCCCCCCAACACTTTTGGTGTCAGTTATGAAAATGCTAACACTATAAAAGAGAAAATAATATAAATTTACCTTTTGCAGCTTTGACAAAAAAAAAAGCATTTTCACTGTTTGTATTGTGGTTAAACTGAATGATGAATCTGGCAAATTTCAGAGGCTGTATTATTCATATTCATGCTCATTTCCACATATACACACAGTGTACATATGACTACATTGGCAAAGTGATAGTAGCTTAATAAAGCAAGTTTGCATACATAGGTGTCATAGGCAGATACCTATCTGTTGTGGGTGTTTGTCCCCCCCCCCCCAAAAAAAACACATTTATTCTAAATTATTTTCTATTTTTGGATAAAAAATTATTTTGCAGTTATATTCAAAGTATATATCTCCAAGCCAAGAATTTCTTACTGCTAGGTGCAATACTCATTGTTACAAAGGAGGAATAATTGGATACTCTGAACTGCTGAAAATCTTACAGTTTCCTTATGTTGCCTGTCTCTGTGGGTCAATCTCTATGACAGTGTAACAATAGAACTTTGATGGATATTTATTCTTTTTGTATTTCTATTCCAGTAAAAAATAAGAATTGTTAAGGGAAAAGTTACCTTTTCTTAAGTCTTGTAAAAAGAAAAAAACATCATAGTATCCATAAAAATCATTAAATACCTGGGAATTACCTTTATAAGAATTGAGTAGACTCTGCATGAAGAAAATAGTAAACATCACTGTTACATAAGAGAATTCTAGGTAAGAAATCTAAACATTGTAAAAATGTCAATTCCTTTGAAATTATTGTAGAAGTTTAGCCTAATTTCAATAAAACTCTCACTGTGATTTTTTTTTTTGAGGGTAACTTGATTCATGAGATGATTCCAAAGCTTATGTAGAAATGTAAACAAAAACACCAAAAAATTTTCAAAACATTAGGTGAATAACAGGGAAGAATTTTTTCTTCCACAAAATATTTATTAGAATGCCACAGTAATTATATAACATATTAGTGGTATAAAAATAAACAGAAAATTCCAGAAGGGAGTTTGAACTAGAGCATTGAACTAGACATAAAAATATATACACTCAAATGAGCATTAGAACCAATGGTAAAGAAATCAGTTATTTGGAAATGGTAATCAAAATGGACCCTCATTTTATACCAAGCACCAGAATAACTTTTGGATACATTTAAGAGTTAAATTAAAAAATTAAACTATAAGAAAACAAAGGTTAATGATCTCTAAATATACAAACAAAAAGTATTGAAAGAATTCACCCAAAACAAATCCCAACCATATCCAATTTTACAATGTATGCTTAAATAATTATTACAAATTAAAGGGCAAGTAATAAACCAGAAAAAATATTTGCAACAAATCAGGTTTGCTCCCTGTAATAACCTGAATTCTCTAAAAACAGCGCGGGAGGCACAGGTTTGCAGGCGGTAGTCTGGGGATGCATTCTCAGGCAGCAGCGCCACGGCAGGAGCGGGTGACAGGGCGGGAGGAGGACCCAGTACAGCCCATGCAGAACTGAGACCCGCTCATTACCAAGTTGATGGTCATTACAGGTGCTCTTGCTCAGTCCCACTGGGAACTGAGGGAGCCTTATGAAGTGTCTCAGGACCGTCCAGCCTGAAGGGTGAAAGAAGAAAACAGTCATCCTGGAGCTCCCTCCCTCCATTGATGAGTTATGGCCTCATGGCCATTAGCCCTCACCTCTGGTTACTCGGGCATGAGTGCCCTATCAGTATTCTGGCGCCAGGGACAGGAAGCAAGAAGTCGGAGGCATGGGCCCACTGCACTTTGTATGAAGCCAGTCAAGGCTGCAGGGACCTGGAGGCCACGGCCTTGGCTCAGATGGAAGGTGGAGCCCAACAGGGTCACAGCAAGTGTATTCTTTGCACCGCAGCAGCACTTATACCTGCTGTTGAGTGCCGTCCATCAGAGTCCCTCCAAGATAGCTACCATTTCTGCAAGGACATCACACTACAGCATTAGTGGGGCAAGCTATTTTCCCTCTTATCTGAGCAAGGGTTCTGCTGCTGGTGACACGGGAAAGTAATGCCACTGCTGGGGCCACTGCCCTGCTAGGCACAGGACATATGCACTGCTCGCCTGGCCAAGGCTCCGCAGTGCCCAGGACCGCTGCTGCCCACACGGCTCCCTTCGACCCATTCCTGTGCACCGCCAGCCCCAGATCCCAGTCCCCAGTGCACGAGGACGGTGGCGTCTGGGTCTGCCTCCAGCAGGACCGAGAGGGGAGCATTCTCCAGATATGGGAAGTGGGGCAGATACTAGGAAACCAAAACGCCAGCTGTCCACTCCAAGAAGTGCTGGTCAAAGCAGTTGTTCCTGGGCCCAAACGGGCCTGACACTGCTTCTTAGAGAAGCTCTATGGCCCAATCTGAGTGGCAGTTCAGAACTGCAGTGTTCTCCTCCTCAGCAGAAGTGGACATTTAAACCCTTGGTTTTGTTGTGATTTTTTTTGGATTTTCTTTTATTTGCTCTTCCTGATCATGAACTAGCCAGGAAAACGTTCTGTTAGCCTGGTAGCATGTACCTGTGATACGTGCATACAAACATTCCCGGCCATGTTCATTTGAAACAGGAGCATCATTCTCTATGTTTTAGTGGCATATGGTGCTAAGATTTCATCAGAGTTTCTTATAAAGAGCCAGGAAACTTTCTCTGCTGAAAAATGTGTGTTTATAAACAATGGGCATGCGGTGAATATTTCCATCTGTTAGGGGAACATACTTTGTGTAGGAATTCCTGGAATAGGTGGAGTACTTTGCAACTTTTTTGTACATTTTTCCCCTGGTGAGACATTCAACGAAAGATGTGGTACAAAACAGCATATGCCCACCACGCTGCGTTGTGCGGGTTCCGTGCGTTGTGGGAAGCAGCGCTGCTTGTGCGTTAGTGTATAGGGTCGCCATGGCAATTCGTCAGCATGGAAAACCTATTCACGGTCCTCCAAAAAGGAAAAATAGCACAAACAGCAATGATGTAAACATGGTTACGCTGCAACGGTGAAACTGTCCTTAGAGTTTTTCAAGTATGTGCTCCAATAACTGTGATTTCTTTTCCAAAAACCTTCTGTTGACTTTTAATGTCGTCTCAAAGCTCCTCCTCATTATAATCACAGTGCATAATAAAAATCGCGCCTCCTTCTAGTTTGATATGATTCTGATTATAGTCACTAATTAATTTTTTATTTGAGGTAAGCCATGCCTCAGAAACGAATGAAATTTTGAAAATTAAAACGCAGCAATATTTTTTCTCATCAAAGATTTTATTAATCTTGCCATAGGATCTCAAGATGGTTATCAGAGGGAAAGCATACTTTGATTAATATTTGCTTAATACTGAATTAGCTGTATTGTCCAAATGTTCCATTCACTTAAAAATTATGCCTATCAGTTCCCTTTCCGGGGCAACTAATTGGACATGCCTGAGTAAAAAAGATGAGCAATTAGTTGAATGTAAGTGATTACAAGACATGCTCAAGAACTGAGCAAATACAACATCATATACATTTGCTGTAGTGCCTACTACCTGACTTAGGTTACTCTGATTATACTTTGTAAGAGGCAATTTTTTTAAATTGAAGATGACTACTACCAGAACATCTTTTTAGTCAAGGATCACATCACCACATTTTTTTCTCTTTTTCAGAAAATAGGCTACCACTCGCCTGAGTTGCAGCTCTCTCTTCCGTATGCTAGACACCGTCCCATGTGTGAAAAGTGTCCAAGCCTCAGACTTTAAACCTTATTCTTGATTTGTTTGTGAAAATGGCCTAGAAACCAATTAATGGGCTCTCTTATGTAGCGTGAAAGGTTTGGCCTCGGAGCTGTAAAACTCACTTTACATGGCTCTGGGTTATATATCCTACTTGCTTGTGGATTTCCAAACATCCTGAGTTATAAAACTAACAGTAAACCTGCAGCAGGGCTTTTATGGAAACTGTGTCTTCTATCTACTTTTTCCCCTATAAAATTTCACTGACGGTTTTTGAAAGGCATTGATTTGAAGGATGATTACTTATAGTCACAGGAATGGAAAATACAAATGAAATGACCTTTCAGTCCTCCAGAAAGGTTTTAAAATTAATGTCAGGCCCTGTGTGGAGAAGTAAGAAAGGGGAGGGGTAGGCTGTGTTGGGAGATGTCCACAACAGTGAGCGGAGGGGCCACGTCTGCAAGGATGTCGCTGCTTCCCCTGCCGTAGTGACATCTGTGCCTCATCCTGAAAGCCTTGTTCAGGCTGTTAGGAAGAGTGAAATGACACATTTTGTTCAAACTGTTGCTAGTTCCAGAAAGAAGTTTTAGAAATTCTGAGAGAATTATGCAAATTTTGCATGGAGAAGCCTAGTGTAAGTGTAATGATACTTAGCTCTTTACGTCCCGCATTCCTTCAGCCAGCTGTGAGGGACACCTATGTGCACAGCGCTGTGTAGGCACAGGGGTGCAGTGAGGAGCAGGCAGGTCTGGGGCCCGCTCCACGGAACATTTACAGCTAGTTGGGGAGACGGAGATCAATGAACTAATCTCTCACACTGCAGCTGCAGTAAGTGTGTTGGTCAGGGAAGTATTGCATAGATATTAGTTTGTCAAAAATAGTCTTCGTTGAGCACGTCCCAGATGAGATGCCAGGCTGCTCTGGAGAGACCCCTGCTAATACGTGTGTCCGGTTTTTGGCAGGTATATAATCCCATCGTTGCAGAGGATGGATGCTGGGTTTTACCGCTGCGTGGTGCGAAACAGAATGGGAGCGCTCCTGCAGAGAAGATCGGAAGTCCAAGTCGCATGTACGTGTACCCCGAGGCCTCCACGAGCCGGCACAAGTGCGGGTGCCGGTCAGAGGTGCTCAGCCATCTCGGCTGAGGTCCTGTCTCAGATTCTGTCGGAACAGAGGAGTTGCCGGGATTGGTTGAGAGAGAAGTAAATTGCCAGTGCAGCTGGTCCAGGGGGCTAATGAAGTGAAGCACGCTTTCTCAATTCAGTCGATCGAGGGCCCAGTAAGCACTGTGGAGGGTAAAAGAAATAAATAGATAAAAAATAAAAACAGGATGACTTCTGTTTTATGAGTGAGTTAACTGTTTTTAGCTTTCATTATACTGTATTCAAATTCAACTGTCTATAAAATGAAAAATATTAAACCCAAATAGGTAAAATGTCACTGAGTTAGAATCAGGTCTTCCAATGAAGATGGGTTTTGAAATCTTTAGCTGCACAACAAGCAGTAGCATGTGGACAGGAATGCCCCAGGTGGTGTTCATGCTGCAGTGATTTAGTTAGCTCCTTGCTGGGCAGACCCTTGTTGGAGGAGGAACCTTCTGAGAGTAACTGAAGGAGCTGTGCAGAGGCAGGGCTGGAATTCTAGTGTAACGGATCAAAGCATTCTGCCCGAAATCCGTGACAGGTACGCGCCATCAGAAGTGGCCTGTCTGCCTTCTAATGTTGTGAATGTGTTATCAAAATGTCCCTTCCTTTCAAAGAAAGCCAAGGGTGTCCTGAAATTTTAAATTCTATACTAACACGTCATAATAGATGTCCAAGAACTCTAAGAAGCTCCTAAACTGGACAGGGTTAACCAGGGATGACAGCGTTCTCTCCTCTGTTATTTTGACCACGGTTAAGGCCTGCAGTTTTCAGTGTTCTTATAGGAAGTAAAATACTTTCTAGTTATGTTATTGTTCTATACTTACTAGTGACTGAGTGAGATGCAGAAGCTCATACATGTTTGCTTATGTTTTAATTACTAGGAATGCATGAGTTTTTCTGAATTATGAAGTCACTTGCCAAAAAGTCTGCAGAATAGTTTAGAACTTTTTTCAGTTGGAAACAAAATAAAATCATACCTCAAACATATTTGAATAAGTTGACAGCTTGGAATTTATTATGATACAGCAAATTCTATTTTATAAAATTAAATTTTGGATTTCTTCTTGCTTAGTTATTTATCTCTGTTTCTATCCTTTATCTCTTATCTCTGTTTTCTTCTCTTTGATAGCTAATTTAATTTAAAGTAACCACAAATACTTTCTAATCTGTTTCATTAGTTCCTATTTTCTTAGAATATTAAATGCTGCTTCTAACATAGGAAATAGTTTCTTTTGAATCAAAAAGCCATTGATAATAGAGATATTCTATGGCCTATTCCAAACTTCTTCTTCTTTTTTTAATTCAGATGGAGGAAGAGAGAGAGAGAAACATCGATGTGAAAGGGACACATCAAGTGGCTGCCACCCACATGACCCAACCAGGGCTGGGGACAAACTGCAACTGAGGTACCTGCCCTTAGCGGGAACCGAACCTGGGTCTCTCGGGACCGCAGGCTGATGCTCTAACTGCTGAGCCAAACTGGCCAGGGCCTATTCCAAACTTCCATACATTCAGACTATAAATATAGCATATATGTCATATCCATGTATTTATACATATATGTGTACCTAATCATAATATGGAAGTTTTTCAAAAATTTTAAATGTTACTAATTAAAAAATTGGCCACTTATACCCACATCCCAATGGCTGGGGTTTTCCCTGCAATCTCATTTTTAAAATTGGTAACAAGTAGCACTAAGACTGGAACAAAACCGACCTGCCCCACACTAAGCAGTATGGGGTTGGGAGAACTTTCTAAAAATGAATCGGGTTAAAAATTATTTCTCCCAAAGTATCTGTGAGGGAGACAGTCACCCCAGAAATGAAGGGAAGCAGCAGGTGAGTAGGGCACCGGCACGTGCCTGGGTCAAACTAGCCTGAGAGATTCGGGAGCTGGGAGAGGTCTGGGAGCTCTTCACCGTAGTGTCTGAAACGGTTTCATGTGGCACTAGGAAGACTTCCATGGTTTCCTCCAGCACGTACGCGTTAGAAACGCTGCCGTGTTGTCACGGCAACACAGAGCGAGAGGCTCCGCTGTGTGCGCTCCATGGGCCCTGGGACGCAGGGCCTTGCCTGGTGCCTCACTCCCTGCCAGTCTGCACCATGGGCACTACCGCTCAGTCTCTGGTCTCGCTGCTTCATCTCAGCAGCATGAGGACTGCTCTAAAATCGTTATTTCCCTCTGGGCCCCTCCCCCTCGCAAAAGAGTTTTCAAGAACTTAAAAGGCCTGTTTTTTTCCTGCAGATATGGGAAATTTCGTGGCTACAGACCAGAGGAAAACGGTTCCTCAAGGACAGGCAGCTGTTCTTGACTTACTGCCCATCAGCAGCTACCCCAGACCTCAAGTGACCTGGTTCAGAGAAGGACACAAGATTATTCCCAGCAACAGAATGTGAGTCATTTTAAAATACAAACCATTACACACGTTGGCACTGTTTACATGTTACATTGACTAGCTCATCTTTGAAAAGAGTAACTTAGTTGGTAGCCCTACCCCAGTTCTTAATAAACAGCGATGTAAAGTCTGTCTTGGAAATGTGTGAGATTAAGAAAACAGGTGCTGTAATTCTTGTTTGCCACACGCCCTTCCCCACCCCTGCGCTCCAGTCTCCCTTTCTGAGTAATTCTTGGAGAGTCCTGGTCAGCCTGAACTATTTACTCCAAGTACTGATGTAATGAGAGCTGGTGTTTACTTACAGAGCTGTGGGTTTTTCCTCTTCTTACTGAGCCGTGTTTGATGCTACTTCCTCCGACGATAAAGCAGTAATCACTGCTGATGTCTCCTTATCCCTTTATCCTGCCATGACAGTTTTATGCCCTCCGTCTAATTAGTGGTTCACTCATCTATTGCAGAGAGTTGCTCTGTGATTACTTAAGCATTATTTCAAGGTGTTCTTGCCTATCCCACATTCAGTGTATTTAGCTAATGGCAAACAGGTCTTCTTCATTTAGCTTTAAGTGATTAAAAAGAACATTTGGACTATATTTCATAACTGGGCAGTTCGCAGTGTAATTTAAAGACGATATGCCAAATGTAAAGGTTTCAAAGACGAATGTCTGAAAGAATCGGGAACTGCTACACCCTTGAGCTACGAGTCAAATGTTTATGCCATCAGATGGTTGCACTGAGACAAAAATTCATGAGAAGGGAATGGTCTGGTCTTGTTTGCTTTTCAAAAAGAGCATGTGTAACAAGTGACCGAATAGTTTCAGATGCACTCAGGAGAGTACTGGGGGCCTTTGCTCCCCTGCTGGGCAGCACAGAGCCCTTCCCAAGCCCAACCATGCGTCCAGCCTGGGCATCCAGACCTGCTCGAACCTCGACGGTGCTGACGTTTCTATGGCCAGTGTTTCCATTTGATTATTGGAAACAGGAAAAAGAGTGATATATATATATATATATATATATATATATATATAAGCCATATTTTTAAATTCTAGTAAGAAGATCCATTACCTTAGAAATGGGAAACTGCTATCCTTTATTTTTAATTCTTTATTAAACGTTGCTTGGGTATCTACCTTTATATCGATTCCAATAACAAATGCCTCTCGAGTTGGGTGGAAACAATGATGAGCCACGCATTTCTCATTCTCTTAGAAACTGGCTGCAAAGAAATCAGCTCAGGCAGATTCCTGGGAGATACTCTGGAAGTTCGCTGTGGAGGCAGCGTGGCTGGCTGGCTTGGGATGAGTCCTGGGATGAGTCCTGGGAAGAGTAAGTGCTAGGGCAGGGTGGGGGATGGACGTAGCTTCCTCTCCAACCCTGACGCTTCTGCTGAACGCCCGTGGGACCCAGTGCATGCCTGTGGGACCCAGTGCACGGCGGGATACGGAATGAAATAGCTCTTAATTTTACAAGCTTTCTTCTTTCACTTGCACATTTTTGCCAAAGCCTGATTAATTCCTGGTGCGCTAATAGTGTAAGGGTGCTGGTGTGGCTCTGGCTCAGGCCACCTCCCGCAAACGGCGTGCTTGCCACCAGGAGCCGGCGACAAAGCCGCGGTCCCAGAAGACGATGACGGGCGCCTTTTTAATAAAGAGATGAGATGAGGCTGATTATGGATATTTACACTTTTGCAAGGCCTTTCGGTTTCATATTTTCCACCTCATCATCACTCTTATATTTATTAAGTACCTGCTGTGCGGGGTATCATAAATCAGCTCGAACGTGGTGTTCTCCGCGCTCTTATACATCATTCTGAGACGCATTACTTCCCACTCCTAGGAAGAGCAGCTTCGGGCGCAGGAGGTGGGCAAAGAGGGCACTGGCTCTGTTCTGCACCCTAAAGGGTCGTCTCAAAACCGGAACGTTTGGCTCAAAAGGTGTCACACGTATTGAAGCAGGTTAAGCTCTGTACCTGCTTCTAACCCGATTGTCCGAGGTCAGCACCCTGACACAGCTTGTCTCACCTGGGAGGGAGGCCTCATCTCGCCGCCCCTTCCTCGCCCCTATATTTCAACATTATCTCATGACCTTCCGAACGTGAGCTTTAGGCTTACAGTTAAATGATTTTATTTTTTGTCATTTTCAAGGGAAATAGTAAGTCTCCTGCTTCCTAACTTGAAAAATTAGTTGCATAGCCCATTACTAATTTTAACAGCGGCTATTATTTATCGAGTCCCTCCTTTAAATGTATTTTCTCTGATCCTGGTAATCGCCATCTGAGGCAGGTGTAATTAGCTCCACGTAGAGCTCTCAGAACTGGAGATGAGAGATGTTCAAGGCCCCACCCGAGGGCACTGAGCTGGCCCGTGGCAGGGCCAGGATTCAAACCCAGGTCTGCCCAACTCTAATCTCATGCTCTCCTGCATCAGATTAGTTCTTTTTGCTTCATTTGGCCGACACTTCTTCACGCTTTTGGTTATTTTTTATACGCTGCTTTGGTCTTTTTTTCTCCTTGTCTAGGACACCAGCTTTCAGTGTGAAATAGCATGGGTTAGGATGGGTTGCCATGAGTCACCAGCACACATGCGCCCGTGTCAACATGGAGCATGCCTTTGTGTGCAAATGGACCCTTTCATGTGAGATCTGTTGGTCCCCGACTATAGAAATTTTTGACAAAGAGAAGGCAACGGTGGCCTTCCAGCTAAGGCATGGACTTTGTGGAATTCACACAGGGCAGGTGCCTTCACATGGGGTGAGTAAAACAGAGATGTGAGGGGGGGTGATCACCACCTGCAGAGCCCAGCACCTGGGCACGGACAGCCTCTTTGCTCTTGAGCTAGACTCTTGTTGGAGGAAGATGTTGAAATTGTGTGGGAGAAATAGCAGCAGAAATGTATCATCATTCCCAGAGGAGTAGCTGGTGAGTGTTCTGGTGGTGGCTTTTGAGAAAGGCTAAAGGAAACACGGAGACTTGACTTTGGGTGGTGGACACACGATGCAATATACAGATCATATTGTATACTTGGAACCTATACGATTTCATTTACCTGTGTCACCCCAATAAATTCAATAAAATTTAAAAAAAGAAAAAAAAGGAAACACGTACAAAGTTCTGACTACAATGTGGGCATTTTCCTCCATTCATTCACCAAGCACTTGTTAAGGGCATACTCTGTACCAGGTACTATTCCAGGCTCTGGATAGATGTCAGAAACAAAAGAAAGTCCCCGTTTGGCCCGGCCGGTGTGGCTCAGTGGTTGAGCATGACCCATAAGAGGTCACCGGTTCGATTCCCGGTCAGAGCACAAGCCCAGGTTGTGGGCCAGATCCCCAGTGAGGGGCATGCAGGAGGCAGCCAGTCGATGTTCTTTTTCATTGATGTTTCTATCTCTCTCTCCTCCCTTCCTCTCTCTTTCAAAAAAAAAAAAAGAAAGAGAAAAAAAAAGTCCCCGCTCGAAGGGAACCTCCATCCCTCTGGAAGGAAGCACGCTAGCGGATGCGAATCTGACATGCCGGCTCGGGACAGCAGTGAGGAGGAAATAAAACGGGCGGAGTAGGGAGTGCGGGCTGGGTGGGGTGCTATTTTAGATATGGAATCAGAGGAGGCCCTGTGGGAATAAGCCATTCGAGCAGAGACCTGCCTGAATCCAGGGAGCAAGGCATGGGGTGTATCAGTGAGAACGGCAAGTGTGAAGGCCCTGAGGTAGGTGCGTGAGGAGGCCGGTGGGGCTGGTGCGGAGCTAGGGAGAGGGCTGGAGATGAGGTCATCAAGGTGTCTGGGGCCAGATCTTCAGAACTCGGCTCTGTGGCCGTGGTGTGGACTTGGCCATTACTGAGGACCTGAGCAGAACAGTGACACAGTGTCCCCTATGATTCTTCAGTTACAAATTATGTTATGAGTAGACTGTGGGGTGACAGAGTCAGACCAGGAGGCCTGGGGAGCGTGTGCATAGTCATCAGGGTGGTGTGCATAGTGCAGGTAAGACGTGTCAGATGTTGTTTTGGAAGTGGAATCAGTAGGCTTTCCCATTGGATTGGATATGGGTAGGAGAGAAGGAAGGATGCCATGGATAACTCAAACTGTGGCCTGAGCAACTGGTAGTGTGGCGTTGCCACTGGGGAGATGATTTGGGGATGTCTGTGGGGCGGTGGTGTCCGAAGTTTGTTTTGGACATGTAGGTTTGAGAGGCCTGGTAGGCGGGCAGGAGGATCCAGGGGTGAGATGGTCACACATCAGACTCGAGTCGGCGAAGAGCTGGGGTGTTGGTGGAGTGATGGTACTGAGCACTCCTCACATCTCTGCGTGCTCCACAGGCTGGTGAGCGAGCCCCGAGAGTCCTTCGTTTCCGTGAAGGTGCTCTTGGCTGCAAGTCACAGAGGGTGACAATGACCATGAGAAAGAAAGGGTGCCGGGGTGTTAGAGAACACAGAACTGACACAGAAGGAGAGGGCTGGGCAGTCGCTGGGCTGCTCCCTAGGCCTGAGGAGCAGGGAGCAGGTCCACTTGAATGGCCTCCCAAGGTTGTCAAGGTCCTAACTTCTGGAACTTCTGAATATGTTGGGTAATAGGCAAAGGGGGGCGGGGGGTAAGGTTACAGAAGCAGTAGGGAGCTAATCAGGTAGGAGGGTGGGACAGAAGGGAACAGGCCAGTCTCACGACCATGCAGTCCAGGTTAGTGTCTGAACCCTGTGACCTCACACCCTGGACGCTGGCAGCTCTTTCTCTCAACACCTCGCCTTCAGACTTTAGCCGTGAGAGCCATGATGCTGTCTCAAATGTGTGAATGTGTAGGTCATCTCCTCAGGTGGTTCTAGCCTCCCCTGGGTATTGACCCTCTAAAACTTCTTTCTGTGACGCCACCTGGCCTGGTGCTACACGTCACAGACAAGCAGTACTGCAGTGGCTGAATGAATGAATGCGTGAATGTGAGCAAAGTCATGTAAACTACTCACCAAAAGGGGGGAAATCTTAACAAGCCTCAAGGGAAAAAAACCACCGGCAA